CACATGCTGCTATTGAGGTAGTCAGGTTAGCAGCAGGTGTGCAGGTAACAACAGCACAGGTGGCTGGAGAGGGTGGAGGGCAGCTGTGTTGGGAAGTTGTTTGCTCTTGGCTGTTTTTTGCAACCCATTAGGCTTGAGGCTGCAGAGATCCAGAACTACCACTAGTGGGACACTGCAGAAATCTCCACTTTCCATTGTCATGGGAAGCTCCAGAGTGCCAAGCCCGGTGATGCTATTTTAGTCAACTGTGAAAACATACAGAAGCATTCAGCCTTCTGCTTTTAGTGTTGTAGGCTCCTTCATGAGCTCTATATCTATAGTTACGCTCTCGTCAAAAAAAGAGCCCTCCTGTTTGTGTTTTCCAGGGCTGTTTCCAAAGCATCCTTACTTCCTTTCTTTCCTTGTTTCTTTTCTGGATGAAAGTCCAAAGCCACACAAGCACGCAGACTCAGAATTTTTATTTCCCTGCTTCTGATGTCCTTGGCTCCCTCTAAGTGAAAGATTTTAAAAGTGCCACTTTCCCAGCTTAGTGTTCTCTCCCCTCTTGTTCACTGAAGGCTTCGCTGGTCTGAATATAGGCTCACCTCCTCCAGGCACAGGAGAGCAGGACTGCACTGCAGCTGTGAAGCTGATGGAAGTGTTGCCTTTCCTTTTAGCAGCTATATTGGCTTCCATGATTGAAGCCTTATTTTCTGCAACACTGCTGCAGCCTGGTGCAGCCAGGGGAGGGTGCTGCAGGGGAGGGCGTCTTCAGCAGTGCCCTTGCCCAGCCTTAATGCCCTTGCTCAGGGCTTGCAGAAGGTGTAGGTTTGGACCTCGCCATAAAGGATGGATGGGGTGGGAAGGCAGGGCTGAGGGCTGGGACACCTCCACCTGCTGGGGTGGAAGGCTGGCTACTGCACAGCTCCTGTAGGAGGAGGTTTGTGGTGGAGAAGGAAGTGGGGACAGCATCTCTGGGGCTATGGAGGGCTCCTATTCCTGAGGAAACACAGAAAGCTCCATCTATCCTTTACCCCTCTGATAAATATTCTGCCCTGTGCCCTCTAGATGTTAGAAAGAAAATATGATTAAAAAGGTGAAATGCTTTTATTTGTGAAATATTAACTTTATGTAATATATATTCAAAAGCTGATACTCATTTAAAGGTTATATTTAATATAGCTCTGCCCCAGTTTTTCTTTTTTATTATTTTCTTATACATCTTTTCACTTTCTAAGGCAATGCTCCAGTGACTACTGCAATATAATAGCTGCTTTCTCTCTCAGTACACAATTTGACAGCATTTATTCTTTCCTTCAGTGAACATAATTACTTCACATATGGAACCTGTGATAGCCTACAGGCATCTGAGAGAAACCAGAATCATACAATCTGTCCCCTTTGTGAGCTTAATTTACATTCACAAGTGTCATTTTAATAGTGCTGGCAACATGTAGGATAAAAATTACAGGTCAGCCGCAGCATGTCACAGGGAACTGTGCTTAAGTCAATAACATGGTATTATTACATTCTGGATAATTTTACAAGGTAGATCTCACAGAAGGAATTTGACCCCTATTTCTTTAGTTTTCTGCCTTTTGGTTTCCTCCATAAGGTATTTCATTTAGAAATGGATGTTGCAAAACTGCAAATGTATTGACAAAGAGGTTAGATTGTAGTAGGCATTTCCAAATCTGAAAGCAACACCTTTCCCTTGCTTCAACTTGTAACAGCATTTAGAATTACTGTGCTTTGGCATATTTAAAAATTTGCACTATTAATTCTTGAAATTTGTTTTCCTGATCCATGTAATCAAAATACTGAGGCGCATGGCCTTATGCCTTCTGATTTCATACAGTTGACAGAAGTTTGCTTTAGCTGGCTAAAAAATAATCAGTTACAGAAAACTCAGTCTCAGGCCAGGCACTTTACAGACATTTTGTACAAGAAAAATGTGTCAAAGGGACATGTTATATATAGAGCTATGTACAATTCATGATTTAATTTATATATTTATAAGGTAATAATAATAGCTAATTTCTCATACTGACATCTGTAATAGAGATAAAGATGCAATAAATAATCTAAGAAACATCAGGTGATTGATTTTAATAAAAATTTGGTTTGGGGTAGAGCACTCAATTCAAATATAAAATCAATCTCAGTTACGATTAACTGATTATTTTCAGTTTTTGCGAAACCCATAATTTACTGCATTTTAAGTTTTCAGAGTTTACTTAGGGGAATACACCAGGGCTTGTACAGTTTGCCCATAGTACTATGATATTATGTGCTCAGACAAGGCAAATACACCCCCAGGTGACCCCCTGGTACACACATACCCACACATACCCGTTCTCTGAACCATACATTCATTCCCTCCCCCTGAAATTTGTATCCCTCTCTTGCTATAAGCACTTTTACACAACACAAAGGGGAAAAAAAAATCTTTTAATCTGATGATTCATTTTCATATCACTGACAGTGTTGGAGTTTGAGTGGGTTTTTTTAATTAAAAAAAAAAAAGCATTTTTTTCCTCTGAGGAGGCTAGATAGAACATACTTGAGTCTATAATAAAAAACTAGCAGCAAGGAATAGTGAAGCTGGGTATAGTGAAGGTTCCCACTACCTGAAGACTTGTAACATGGCTGAGGATGTATCAGAAATACATATAAAACCCCTCAAACAATTGAGGTTAAAGCCAGGAAAATTACAACTTGAGTACATTGCACATTTTCGAGAGTGGAGGTAATTAGGCACTGGAAAAGATTCCTGTTGAGACTTGTGCAATAACTACCAAAACTTTGTGGCTTTCTAAAGGATGTGTCCCACTCAACCGATGGTCTGACGCTGGAAGTCAGTTCTATTTCACGGCCCATGTTTAACTCCACCCAGGCCTTAACATCTGCTGAAATCACATAGCCAACCTCTAAAGCCCTAGGTCAGCCTTTACTTGGGTCACTGAGAGATTTTTCCATGTCACTAATATGCACATCAGTATATATGCAAATATTAATATTTTATGTGCCTGATGACCTACTGACCAACTCTTTTACCAATAAAATACTTGAAACATGGCAATTTTCATTCTTTGTGAGGATCTTGTATGAGATCCCATTCAGTTGCAGAAAGAGATACATTGGAGTGTCTTGTCTGCCTCAGGAGATATGTTGGAGTGTCTTTTCTGCCTTTCCTCAGCTTCTGTCTTCTCCCTCAGCTGACATTAAGTTTATTACTTGCTTGATTAATGGTTGCCATATCTGGTTTTCCTATTTTAGAGAAGGAAAAATAAAAGAAGAAAAAAAGGCTGTACAGGGGAGACTTTACAGACAGGAGCAAGCTGGGTACGAGGCCCTATCTGTGAGTGGGGATTAGTTCTGCTTCTTGAAAGGTAAGGGACATGATGAAGTTTTTGGCATGACATCCTCTTTTCACCAGTAGAACACAATTATGCTAATAACTTTTGTAAGAAGAGGCTGAACATTCAAGGGATTAATTATATTATTGGACCTAAGACTTGAACCTTTGAGGTCTCTCTTTTTGTCAGCTTTTGATGTTGTGCTTTTTAGTGGTCCTTTCTCTGTTACCACCTGTTGAATAGATGTTTATTGGTGGGACAACTTAAGAGTTGTTTGAAAAAAAGTTTTGTGTTTCATCAGCAGTGGTTTTGAACAAAAGTAAAGTCTTTGTGGGCTGGTTTCAGGGAAATTGCCAGGCAGCTGTGAGGTTGTGATGGCTTGTGGTCACACCTGGTGGCCTGTGAACAAAATCAGTTGGTTTTGCTTTAGCAAAGTAAAATAAGGAATTACTATGGTGAGATTGCCCAAAATGGAGTTTTTCCTGTGCTAGGGAGGAGTTTTGTACTTGGCTGGGATGATGGTGCTTGGCTGTGCTTGGCTGCTGGCACTTGGGGCTACCTTTGTGCACTGCAGGCAGCACACTGTGCCCCAGTTCAGCCCCTCTACTCCCGTGTGTAGCATTATGATGGATGTAGGAACCTGGAATAGTGCAGGCAGTCTTTCATACTGTATTTTCTGAGTGATGGATAAAGAAACAAATCTACAAATTGCTTGTGTGCTGTTTTAATTTATCACTTAGAGGATGAAGCTGAACAGAGTCTGTGGTTAATATAAATTTTAAAAAGATAATGAGATGTTTTTTCTCTCAAGCTGGCATACAATCTTATTTCCCTTACTTCTCCTCCACCAAAAAAGCCCCCCACCAAGCTCTTGTCTCCGATTTGTTCATAAATACAATATCAAACACCTCCTCTGTGCCTCTGATGTATACTTGAATCCGTGTGCCACTGTGTTGATTCATCTGGAGGATGCCCTGCATGTGAGTGGTTTGGCACAGTGTGGTACAGGGGAGGAATCTGATTGTGAGAAAGGCAGAGGCAATGGCATAATTATGAAGGATTTCTTTCCCTCGTATTGCTTCTTGTTATACAGTCTTCTCTCCATGTTTCCCCTGGTTATTTCTCTTCCTGAAATGAAAATAACCTGGCAAGAAAACAATGTTTCCACTCCCATCATTTTTGGGCAAGGAGCACCACTCATGTTTTTCTTAACGTGCTAACTGATGGATAATTATTCACCAACATTTTTTGTTGAAGCAAGCAGGCTTGTTAACTGTGGTGACATTTTTAGTGATGCTATGATATCCCTGTGTTGTTGTTGCTTGATTTATCAGTGTCTAAAGGATTATTTTGTTGAAAAACTTACCATGGATCTTGTGTTTGAGGCTGACTTTATATGCGTATGAGTTCACGTGTGTGAATTTGTATGAAAATAAGGGACAGAACTGTTAAGATGCTTCTTCTGTTTTGGGCTTTTGGCTCTGTGTTATAAAATACAAACGAGCATTGAATTCCCATGCTTTAAAAGGGTATACTTAAAAAGAGAAATATCATAATTGAGAGCAGCTCAACCACAGCCATCCTACGGTTTTCATCTATTTACTCCCCCTCTTCTCCAGATTCCTGACTCACCTTCCCTCATTCCTGTACTTCTACAGAACTGTTACTTACAACCTCAGCCTCCCCACCTACCCTCTGACTACAGACACAGGCCATCCTTGCCCTCCCCAACTTGTTCACCACCAGCTGCTAACCCGGCACCTGTGCCTGGGCAGGCACACTTTGATCTGATGCTGGACCTCTGGCTTTTGCACATGGCTGTCATGGGTCTTTGAAGGGTTAAAGCCAGTGTGGCACTGTGTTTGGAGGAATGGGATGGTAGTCATGTTGGAGAGCCTGTGGGGTCACTTTGGCTATGAAGAGGACGCATAAGGATCACATTCCCTTCAAGAGAGATAACACTTGGTGAGAAATGCCTTTGAGAAAAGTGTGGTTGAAATGTTAGGGATAAGAAGCCCAGGAACACTGCCCTGTTCCAAGCATTCCTTGCACAACAGTGCAGGAACCGCTTGGTGCAATTCTGGCACCCAGAGACTGAAGCAGTGGGTTGAATAATGTGAATGTGACCGCCATCCTTTTTATACTCAGTGAAAGCAAATGTGCTTAGATTTCCTGGAAAAAGGTGCTGTCGAAAATTCTGTGTAAGTGTGAATACATGCAAGCCAAAGGAGGTAAAGTTTTTTCTTAGTTAAGATAAATAAAAAGAAAATCAGTCTGTAAATTGAATGCCAGACACATAGCCCCTTTGCTATAGCAGGAGCAGATTTGCTCATGAGGTGATGTATCCTGTTCCTTTTCTTTGCTCCAGCACCCAGGTTGCCTTGCCTGGGTTAAACATTTGCACTCCAGGCTGTATGATTAGCTTGGGCTGTGCAGCATTGCTGGTCCAGCCAGTGCGATATTTCCTCCCTGCCCCCTGATCCCCAGTTTTAATATGACAAAGGCATGTAATTCTAGCAGTCTTACAGTGGCTCAGCTCACCCATCATCTCCAGTTCCTCCAAAAACTCTGTGGGAAATTCAGGTGCTTTCCAGCTCTCTGAATCAGTTCCACAGGGTTTGTTGCATTAAATCCAGACAACAAGGTTAAAGTTACACAGATAGAAGGGACAAAGTGCCTTATTCTGGGTAGGCTCTCAAAATCAGATCAGCTATCAAAAAACTGTTTTGTCCTGAGGAGAAAGGTGGTGGAAAGGGAAGGCAGAACACATTTTAGGGCCACTCGGGAGCCCTTTATGTGGGTTGTGGCCATTTAGTCTTCAATAAAACATGAATGCTTACCATAGCAACCACGTCAGCCCCCTTCGAGATAGCCATTGCTTTAATAAAGACGGACATTCACTGAAGGAAGTCTAACAAACACATGTAGACCTTTTAGAGTGCTGTACAAGAAAACAATCTCACTTGAGAAGCAGATGTGTTTTCCCAGGAAGTGTGTAAGACTTAATGCAATATGCTGCTAGCTTTCCTTACCTCTGCCACGTGCTTGCTCCTGGGAATTGCTGTTATTTGGGTGTTGCAGGCAGGGGACCACAACAGCGATGGAGTGGGTATTCCACATGGCCCTGCTACCTGTGCTGCTGAGGGAGCTCACTGTCCAGGATATTTTGGATCCTTTCCCATTAAAGATTCTCCCAAACTCCCAATATTCACACTAAGTCACTATTTTCCTGAGATCTTGTGCCTGGTAGGTACTTTCCTGAAATGCACCCTTTTGCTTTAATCCCTGCTTAATCTTACAGGAAGATGCAAACAATTTTGAAACATCTCTTTGCCTTGGGAAGTCTCGAGGGTGTTCAACAAACTCTTCTGTGGCTTTTTATTCATGTGCCCCAAAAGCATGCTGTGGTCCCTTCCAGTAAACAGGTTTGGATATGAAATGCTACTGGATCAGCCTCCTGGAAAGAGGATGCTTTGATTTGTAAAATGGGAAAGAAAATGTTTATCCAGGAAGTATTAGATAAGTCACAGATTAATTACAATTGTCAAGTATTATTCATCTGTAATAAGAGTGAATTCTTCACTCAATATTCATAGCAAAATAACATTATTTTTCAAATAGAAGTAATTTAAATTGAAGTAAGACCTTCTAATACCACCATCTGTACAAGTAAATTACTTTCAGAGTAATTAAATATGCATATCTGGGCTGTGTACTGTACTGATGAACCAAGTTTTATGGAAGCAATATGCTTGAAAATCCCTTAGGTATTAAAGATGAAGAATCCATGGCATTTTGCATTCATATAACCATGAATAAGAAAAAAAAAATTTTTTTCTGTTGCATAATTTTGGGGAATATATTTTTATTAACTTTTCCAGGTTAATTAATATTTTTGCCAAATAGCAAATACGATCATCATATTTATTAGTCTGACATTTCACAGGGACTGAAAGCTCTGTAAGAAATTTTAGCATCGTATGTGTATGAATTTATGACTGTGACACAGTCACTCATCTTCTGCAGGTTCCCAGGAAGCGGAGCAGTGCGGTGAAACTGAAATCATTATGTTGACTGAATTCATTACCGCTGGACTCGCCCCTCCATGAAATAGCACTGCTCAGCCAATTGGAATTCATGGTCACAGCCCTTCATGGGATCATCAGGGTTTATAGTCCATAACAAATACAAATACAGACAGGAACAATAACAGTACAATACATCTGATCTATGATCCCGCCTTGTGAGACTGTCGCGAGTACCAGAACAGTGACTGGCCGCGTGTTTCTGTTGTGCGGATGAACGGGACAGTTGCACAGGAAGGAGAAGCTACGCCTCAGAACACAGTGCTGTTGGCATAGTCTTTGGTGACTAAAAGCCATCTTTGTGCTTGCAGCACATTGTTCATGACTTACATAAAGCATTGGTGTGTGGGGTAGCTTTGGAGGTTTGCTGAAAGAATCTGACCGCTGCAGAAATGTTTGGTTAAAAGAAATACCTGAAGCCAGATCTGTGGAGCACTTCAGAAGTCTGAAATTCCAGCAGGTGAGCCCTTTCAAAGCAGCAAATACAGTGGCCTACTTGTTACCCAAATGCAAGAGCCAACTCAAACATAGAGACACAGAGGCAGCACAATCTCTGTTTGCAAGTCAGCCACTGCATGCTGCATAACATGACTGATCTTTAGATATGTCAATGTAATGTTGCTAATGAAACATGTAGAGGTTCCTTGTCATCAAGAGATTTAGTCTGCCTGCAGCACTTTCACAGTTATCTCCTCAGATTAACTGCAGAAGACTGGCAACACATGTAGGACAATAGATAAATTCTTTCTGCACCCCAAATGTAAAATAAGAAATGGTGGCCTGAAACACAGATAAAGAAGAAATGATAAGAGCTTCATTTCTCTACTCTAAGCCCTGTGCTAAAATGTGTGAACCAGCATGTTGTGTCACCCCTTTGGGACCTGCTTATATGTATCTTAGATCATACTTTGTGATAGATGGGAAGTGGATGTTTATGTAGCTAAGAGGAAAACCATTAGAAATGTGTGACAATTGACAATCTGGGAGGTATTGAAGTTTGAATGACATAATTTCTGACCTAGTATGAGGTAGTAGTTTGGTGACAGGTTCAGCTGCATCTAGTCTAATAATGCACATATATTATGCTGGAGGTAGCCTGCATGAGCTTTCTTTATTTTTCTTCTTTGAGTGTCTCATCACCTTTGTCTCTGTTCTGTTCCTGAACCTCAGTTCATGCCCAGCAAGCAGACCCTACATGCTCTGCTTCCAGCAGTTCATTTTCTGGACCTAACACTGGAAGACTTAACACTTTTTTTATCAGATTTTATGTGAGGCTTGAATGAAAACAAAGGTGGGAATTTGGGTGTGGATGTGCTGAGTGAATCCCTGACAAACATGCTTTGGCAGGTAGCTGGGTGGGATTCCTCCTAAGAGGGCTGTGTATAAAAGACTTTATAGTAGTCCTGAGGAGACCTGATTTTCAGGTCAAGGTTTGACCTGTAGTAGACAATATATACATAATACTTATTGCTTTTAGGCAACAAAGTACAGGTTGGAATTTAGGACAGCCCTATAGCAACAGCCCAGAGACATATGCAAAAGAAAATCTATGTAGTCAAAAAGCAAAAAGTGAAATGTGACTGTTCAGCTGCTGAATGTTTGCATGTTTGTGACCCCTTTGCCATGTGTAAGTCTGGGTTTATGCTAAAACATTCTCAGACCAGCATTATTAGCATAATGTAGCGCAATTCGCAGTGCTTTGAAAGTGAATCTTCCATGAGTTTAAAAATGCCAAGGTAGGACAAGGACATTTAAATCCTCCTTTATTCCTGTGTCTTGTGCTCAGGATGTCTCCAATTCTCACAGAGGCTGGAGCATTATTTTCCATACCCTTTCCCCCCCATTTAGCTTCTAGTTACTTAGACAAAATTGAGGTAACTTTTTTACTTTTTTACTTGCCGTGATTTTAAAGCATTAAAAGCTTTTGCTGAAAAGGTACCTATTTTCTTATCACTTTTTTTCCCTCTTTACTCCAGAAAAGGGCTTAATTTGAAGTTCTTTTTTGGCAGCTGTATTTCATTGTGATACATTATGTCAGGGCACATCAGTCACATGAAGATTTTATGGAAAAAACATACCCTTTTTAGATGTCCCTCTCTGCAACCCCCTTCAAAACATGGTGGGGTTTTTTCAGGAAACTCAGCTATCAACAGCATCATGATTCTTGAAAGATCATGGGTGTAATGGCTTCATCTTACTCAATTATATAAATGTTACTTAAAGAAGGACTACAGAATTTAACATGGTGAATTTAGTAATTCTAAAAAAAAAAATTGACCACTTTCACCTTTTATTGATGTTTAATTTTTAGTCTTGAGCAAGGGTTTATCTTCTTTGTAACCAAGCTAATCCTATGCTGTTCCTTATTTTACCATTAAATGAGATACATTGTGAATTCAGATGAAAATGAGGTACCTTGATGAAAGTGGGCTTCAGGTGTCGCACACTAAGCATTGTACGATTCTCTTTGCTCTGATCCTCCAGCACACATAAGATTTCACCTCTTCACCTTTGAACAAGATTGCACTAACTTTGATCTTTTCTATTTTGTTCAACTCCAGGGAAGGAGCAGCTACTTGAAAAATGTTATCATTTAGACGTTCAGAGATTCTTTAAAAAAAAAAAAAAAAAAAAAAAGGGGGGGAAAAGAAAAAAACCTTGAAAGCATGAACTAAAAGCTGTAGGTTTTTAACTTGAGTATCAGCTTTTGTAGCTAGTACGTTATGGTTTAACATGAAAAGCTGTCACTATGTAGAACAAAACAAAATGTAGATTTTAAAAGCACACAGAATTATTAAATACAGATTTCATTTTAGCTAAGCATTTTTCTGCAGTAGTGATATGGCTATGCTTTCCCAGGTCAAAGCATAAGCTTTGTGTTTTTGCTCCTTTGCTTATGGCCTAAGCCTATTACTTGAGCCTCTATATTTTTGTGATATTAATTCATGATACTGACAGTTAATCTATTTTTATAACTGTTCTTATCTGACCAAAATAACAAACTAGGTTCTCCATTCTCTTTGAGTCTGAGAGTATGTAACAATGGGAGCAAATGTAAAAGTATGATATTGTCAATATCTTACATGGTTTAGCAATATTCTTATAATGATTATCACCATGTACCACTATGGTAGTTATTTGCAATTATTTAGGTATTATTTGGTTTTGCGTTTGGTGGGTTTTTTGCTATTACAAGACAGGTTTTCACCCAAATACTTAAGAATTTTAAATCACAGAGGACTGTTGGGGCTGTACCAGCCCCAGTGTGGCTCTAAAGTCCTAGGAGGTGTAATCAAAGTTCTTATCTTAATGATTTACATTTTTTCTTCTTGCCTAGTTTACTTGGGCTTGTGTTGTTTCATCTCTGTCTTTTCTGCTGAGACTGCAGTTGTTCAGGCATGCTCAGGGATGCTTGTGGTAAGCAGCTCTTCCTTTATTTTGAGGTTTGGTTTGCACAACAGTACAAATGGGGACAGTTTCCCGCTTCTCGGATGTGATGCTTATTGCATTCACTTCCATTAACAAGCTGTTGGAAGCAAGTTAATATCACATTAATTTACTCTTACATCTGATTTTTCCTGCCTGTTCTAAGGGCTGCTTAGAACAGATCATCTCCTAGATACTATCTCATAAAAGGTCTGAAGTCCCCTCCCCCCAAAAGTGGAATTATAATTATTAATTCAAAAGAATTATTTATATCACAATGAAATATTAGCAATGAAGAAATAAACAAGATGTTGGCATACATCTTATTGACTTTTAATAACTGCTTTGGGCCTGATTTTTTGAGGTTAACCAGGTAACTTGTTTTGAGATGTACTTGATTTTCTAGCCTTACCATCTCATACATCTTCTGCAGGTGAGCCCCACTTACAAGTAACTTCTACAGTAGCCAGCGTCTCATGTCACCAACTGACTGCCAGCTACTGTAACATCTCTGTGGGAGGGTTGTGATAAAGCCATCTGGGCTCTTTGGTAATACAGGACACTGGCAGCTGTAGCAGAAAACTTCAGGTTCTCTAATGACTGTAGGGTTAGTGCCAGTGTAAAATCAAAGTGGAAATGACCTAAACCAGAAGTACTGAAAGAAAGATTAGTCACTGCTATATGAGGGAGAAAATACAACACCCTGTGAGAGCTGATCCTTGTAGTGTTGCCCAGGCACCCAGTACTGCACTGTGTGGCCAAAAATTACCTGTGAGCAAGACACAAGTCTGCTATTGCTTGCAGACTTCAGGGCCAAGAAAATCCTCTCATATCTCGGTGTCTGCTGGCTGTAGTTCCAGGCTCTGTCCGTGCCGTAGGAACAAGCTGTCTAGTTTCCTTCTCTGGAAAGTTTGCAGCTGCTAGGAAGTACCCCCCAGGAAGCACTGGCATTCCCAAGGCACTGAGCACTGGTGACAAACTCATAGATTTGTGGGGATTTGAGGTTGATGTCCCTATCTAGGTTTAATGGCATCATTCCACTCCACTTAAATGCTTCCATTTTACTAATTTTTCTAAATTTTCAGTCTGCAAATCAAAGATTCTCATTGCAGCACAACACAGAATTTTTTAAGTAATACAGTATGATTTTCATTTTCCTGAGTACATGCAAAACATTATGGTTGTAGTATATAGGAACAATACCTATCTTAAAGGAACTATTATCTAGATATATTATCTTTTAGAGTAGTTGGTAGTTAAAAGCTGTCCTTATTGCACCGAGGAAGTAAAATCCACACTTGTTAGGCTCTTATTTCATCCTCTTTCCTAGAGCCTCACCTTTTTGGCCCTGCTAACTTCCATGTCCATAATGAACTCCATTTAGCTTCCCTGCAGCAGGACCTTGTCTTTGTAAATCACTGACCCAGCAGCACGAAGCTGCATAGGAGAGCAGGTTATTTTTTTTTCTAGATTTTCTCTACTTCCTTCAGCACTTATAGCTTCTACGAAACTGCAGAACAAACAAGTATAAAAGATCAGGAAGATGGCCTGAAAAAATAATGTTTAAAAGAGATCTCATTGTACTCAGTTCTCCACTAGCTGCCAACTATAGACTGATGACTGAAATCTTAGAAGGAGTTAATGAGATTAGGTCTTTGGTGACTGATTGCTTAATGCTGTCTTCTCATTCAGTGGTGTAATTTTTTTTTTCTTCTTTTCAGTAACTATAAATAAACTTCTCATGGAGATCAGCTGGGACCTCGTAGCAGAAATCTTATTTAAAACAACTGAAAATTACTTCGCCTGAGCTTAAGCCACAGCGTAACAGATACCTTCTCCTCCAGCCCTGCTGTGAGTCAAAGGCATTTTCTGGGCTATTACTTTCCTGTGTCATTACTTTCCTGTGCTGAACGACCTTGAGCCTCTTCCTGTTGCCCCATCTTTGCTTGGCTCAGCGTGCGCATCCCTTGCTCTTTGTAAATACACCTGCGCTTTCACCTTTGCTGTACTCCTTTTGCTCCACAGCTGAAGGTACTGGTCCTTTGTCAGGCATTGAGACTCATATGTTTTAGTTCATAGATGCCTATAGTAATTTTCCATGCTCTTGATAGTGAAGATTTTCTTTCACCTTATTAAAAAAATGTTGGTATTGTTAGAGGCACAGTACTTGGCTACTAATATGTTTCTCAGGGCTAATTTCTTTCTGCTTGCAGAGCGAGGGCAAATTAGATGAAAAGGTAGAGTAGTAGCATTTCATAATTGTTTTGCTGGGACATAAATTTCCAGGTTTGTGAAGCAGGGGAGAATCAGCCCACTGTGACTCACGGTACAGTTGGAAGAGCCCAACTTGGGTTGTGTGTATCCGTACTAACTGGGAAAGCTGAAGTGCTAATTGATGGTGTGACCTGCTTTAGGTCAAGCAAAGGTCATCACACCCCTATAAATGCTTAATCCTTCCCATGGAAGCTTTGTGAGATTCCCCAAGATTCTACCAACACAAACTGTATGTTTGGTTTCATGGAGAATCTCTGCGGGAAGCAGAGAGCTCGCAGAGTGGTGGTAGAGAGGCATGGGAATGGCAGTGGTGTCAGAGGGGCAGTGAGGCTGAGATACCTTCTAGGGCGCAGTCATGACCTTTTGCATGTAAATACTCCTGTGAAACAGAGCTGCTACTTTTTGCTACCAGTCATCTTCCCAGTCTTCAACCTGCTCGTAAAAGGTTGCATCAGCCTTTCCCAGTGCTGACCACTATGAAAAATTTGAGCACAAGCTGAAAGTAACAGGTTATAAGATGGGCCAGATACAATACTGAGCACTGTGCAATTTCCAACTGATGTGGTGAACCCAGTTCATACATTCGACAAGGTGGGCTAGCACATACATAACCTAAAAGCATGTCTTGCTAAAATATAGAGGCTGTGTATACAAATGCATGTGAATGCTGAAGTGCTCTGCTGGGTCAAGGCCAGGATGTTCACCAGTGTGCAGGCTTAGCCCTTCCAGATGTCTCCAAAGATAAAATGGAAAGAAAGTGACAGTCAGTCCAAGTTACGTGGAACACAGTCCAGCTTTTAAAAGGCTACTTTTGATAATTAGGTATTTTGTGTACTGTGGCAAGATGTGAATTACCAAGCCGCTAATAATAATGTAGATCAGTCAGGGTAGCCTTGAAATTAGACCCCTAGCAGTGAGGTTGCACTGTATAATGATAGTACAGTACCATTTGTTGCAACACATTTAGCACTTCAGAATGGGATTTTTTTGTTAAACACCAGATGTTCTAGTGACCTGAGTGCTGACTTTCAAAGAAGACACAATAGAATAGTGTGTCAAGGTCAACAGCACAAATTAATCTGTATTATCATGCTGTCATATTATACTGTATGTCCCATATGAGAAAGATCTATGGCTAGTGCTTTCCTTGTAAGGAACTGTATGGGGTGTTTCAGTAGACAGATTTTGAGTTTCCCAAGCCCTCAAAGCAACCTGAAAGAAGTCTGAGTCTTGCTTTGGTAGTTTAAATTGTAAATGTAACATTCTTACAACGGGTGAGGAATGTGACTGTAATCTCACAAAACCAGAGACACATGCAGCAGCACAGTGAGAATTATGTCTGTTAATTGTAAATTCTGCTTTTAAGGACTTCAGAATAATAATCTGGGTAGCTTGGTTGTCTGCATTTTTCTCTTGACTTAAAGATGTGGTAGGGCACAAATGAATAATCATTTACAAACATTTTAAATAATGGTTTGCCTGAAATAAATGCTTTTGTCTCCATGAGTCCCCTCTATCCCTCCTTTTCCCTGCCCTGTGACTTCTAAGCTATTGCTGCAAGATGGCAGGATGTCAATGCCCCCCAAATTGAACCTGTGATTTGTTTTTCTTTGATTTATGGGCTTGTAGTCAATAAACTTTATAAAGGAAAGTATCAGACTGAGCAATCAATCAAAGATAAGCAGATTCTTGTCCTTTAAAAGCATTTCACCCCAGTAAGCAAGGGCCTCATTCATCTTTTACAACCACTCTTGCAGCTTTCAGCTGAGAAAGGACTCGCTGCTGACTACATTCCCTTCTGCTGAAAAGTCCTCCGTTCTTGCATCTGAGCTGAGATTTTTAAAATTCATTGCAGCAGTAAGTTTCCCTTCCATGTTATTTGCTATCTCTAAAAGGGCAGATTGTTTGCGCGTTTTCACTAAAGGTAAATCTCCTTACTCTGTAGAGTGGAAAAGGCTTATGTTTTAAAGCATCAGAGGCATAGACTATTGTTTTGTAGAAACAGTATTCATTTTCTTTGTTGCCTTGCAAAACAAAACATAAGAAAGGGTTCCCATTTGTTTTTTCAGTAGTATCTGAATTTCCTTTGGAGTAAGGCAAATGTTATCCTGCATGTTTTGCTTCTCTGAAGCACAGATGGTGTGCATATGCAGATTGGTGATTTTTTAATCAAAACAGTGACACTTGGGAATATATGTAAGTATTGTAATAATGCATTAGTCAGGAGTGATGTTGTAACACACTGAGATCATACACATAAATCTAAGACACCATGTCTAGACACCCCAGGGAAGATGGCATGCCATGGGTTAGAGCAAGCATTAAGGAAGTGCAATATTTCAAATATGATGGGAAAATAATGTAATTTGCAGACTTTAATAAAACCATTGGGGAATTAATTTCACTAAGGATACACTCTCTCCCAAAACATCCACGTTTCTACATTTGCTTCATAGATAATCAGAACACGAGATGCTGTACCTGCTATCTCAGGCATGAACACAGTACGATATCTATGAATTGTGCTGTATCTTTAATATGCTGAATATGAAAATAATCCCCTTACAGTGCTTTAGTAGTATAAAACTGCATTATACAAACAATGCACAGACAGCATAAACCTTGGAGATTCAGAATTTGAAGAGCTTATAAATTAATCTCATAAGTGTTGATTTGGGCATGCTCAGGGAGTGCGCTCAGCTGTAAAACTTGACTGACCTAACCCTCCCAGTTTTAATTATTAGCTTTTTTATTATAAAATATTAAATGAAGATGTGCGATTTATGACTTTTGCATGTATAATTTTCCTTTCTCTGAAAAGATTTTTTTCTTTTTTTTTTTTTTTTAAAGAATCCTTGCTCCCTTTGGCTGCTTTTGGTTATTTTGTTGTCTCCATATAGCTCTTGGTATATAATTTTAATCAGCCAACCTCCCTTTAAATTTTTGCCAGCTGATAACTACTCACAAGCAAGTAACTTGCAGTATCATGCCAGCAGTGTTGTGATAAAAATGTCAATTTAAACCTGACCAAGGATGACAATCATAACTATTTCCAAGTGAGAAACTTGAACAGAATACATAACACAATAGTACTTTTTTCCTTCTGCCAGTGAAATATGTGCAGGAACCTGAGAGGTTCTCATAACAATAAGCCTTGCAGTCAAAACCCCATTTAAAATTTGGCTGCATTGGTAGTTCCATCAACCTCATATCTCTTGTCATCTAAAAGATTGATGGTAGAAAATTGTCAATACAACTGAACATTTTCAACTAGTGTCATCAAGTCAAATGCTAGCCATAATCAGTCCTATTAATCCTGCAGCTATAGGAATTAGTGAGGGAGCTCAGGTTTTACAAATAGTGACAGTGGTTTATAACCTGACCAACTGAACTCTGTTTCAAAAAATTAGGTGGCTATGTTAGCACAGAGTAAACCGAGCAATTCTGTATTTGCCTCTCTCCTCGTCTCTCTGTTCGTCTCTGGGTTATAAATACACTGTTCCAGAATTCTCTGTTAGTACAATAATCTAACATGAAGATACTTTGAAACCAAACATGGAACATGATGGGTTGAGACGTGATACCGTAAATTCTCAGGAGATTCTTGGACAAGATGGGTTCACAAAGCTGGAACCATGGCGTGGTAGCAGGGCTGTGATGCCACTGCACATACAGGGCTGTAAATAGCCCACATCCTCCCTCAGAAAATTGTAAACCACCACTTACATTTAGCTCTTCCCATTTCAAAGTTAGATTTCATGTTCAAGGTTTTTTGGGAAATGTGAATGGCCCTCGGGGCTTGTGCAGGGCTAGAAATATCTCCTCAAAATAATAATAAGTAACAGCTTTCGTGAATCTCCATGGAGATTTCTTCCCTCTGAGCATCTTCCAAGGTCTTTGCCACAATCAGGGCAGAATGTCTCTGTTCTTAGACCAGTCTTCCTGTTGTCCTCTGCATCTTTGCATCTAGCTGGTGCTACACAACTATTATTAGTATATATAGCATTTATTTTATATTCACTTGCACAGGCCTCACTATAACTGTGGAGCATCAGTAACACATTAATGACCATCCTTTAACCTTAGTTTTGCCCTCAAGAAATATCTTCTAGTGTCCCTCTCTTTCCTTCACTTTCTCTTATTCTGATCTTTGTCAAATTTCTACTGTGTTTCTACCAGCACTTCATCTGTGTTAATTATTGTCACCCTTCATATTACAGCATTATATCCTTCATCTTTCATATTATGGTATCCAAAGTCTACACACTTTAAACAGTATCACATAAAAATGCACTAATGTTTTAATTTGGAGATTGTTTTGCTAATATCAGTTCCTGTGAATGAAATGTACTACAGTCAGGTTCAATAAATACAATCCTCACCATTTGCTAGAACAGAAACCAAATCCTGGATTCTTCTACTCTGTGGAAGCTACTGTAATTTACTTTTAACATTTTTCTCCCTGCTAAATAGAGCTTTGCTCTATTTCCTGGTATGCACAAAGAAGTTCCATGCAGCAGCTCTGGGTTATATACATTTTTGATTATAACTCCTGGCTTCATCCCACTCTGTCTGCT